CTCGTTTCTTGTGGAACAACGTGCAGCCATGGCAGAAGATGTGAAGAGTGAGCACGATGCGTTTGACCCTTATCTGACCAAATCTCATACTTGTTTCAACAGAAACCCATCTCTGATGCACCCCAAGCTCCCAAGTCTGTCCTGCTCAGGAAGAGCCAAGCACAGATCCACACGCAATGTCCATCGCGCAGCGCCTCAATCAACAAATTGAGGAGGCTCACTCTTTGTGTCCTCATGTTTCCTCAAAAGTCACAATCAAGCAAGTTACCCTGTCAGATATCTTCCCGTGAGAACATGGGCCGGTGGCTTTGGAATCAATGTGGGAGTGAGGAGGGCAAGAAGCACTTCATGGTTGCATCCTGGCTGCAAGACATTCAGGAACTGACTGTAGAGCGGCTTCTTGAAGTCCAGTTCCTGCAAGGCAATGGACACCATGTTCCAGACTAAGTGCATCGCAATGCATGTGACCAACCAGACAGTTCTGAAGAACATCCCGGCTACATCCAAAGTGTTTCACTTATCCTTATGGAGCTTCGACTTCTCAGAGAAGGCCAAGTATGGTGAAAACGGCAGGTTCCCCACGAACATGCAATACAAATCCCACGTGCACTCGTTTTTGCAGAACGGCTACGAATCAGCCCGTGAAGCAGTCGATGTGCGATTTGGGGAGGTTTGCAAGAATGAGGATGATGGTATCACCCCATTCTCTGTACAGTTCGTAGATGGCCAGAACAAGGTCCTCATCATGATGTCTTTGATTGCTCTACTCCAACAGATTGAAGCTTTCAATTCTTTATCTTAAGACTTTTTACTGTCTTGTTCCGAGTTCCGGCGTCTTGCCTGCATGTCCGCAGAAGAACTTGCCTAGGACGTCAAGGAGGAAGAGCTCATGGAGGATCCTGAGATGTGCAAGGTGATAGCATCGTTCAGGTATGTGAAGTGCAATTTCAAAAAGTTGCAGAGGGCTGAGGAGTACTTGTACGAATCCTTGAGTCCCTCTGATTCTAAATTGTTCAATTGCAAGTTGAATTATTTATATCAATTTGGATTGAACATTTTAAAGGTACTTTCTGTTGGGGATAGCTGTTGAGCATTTCTCAACCAATTTGGCCAAGGCTTGGCAAACAGGACTTCAGAGAAGACCAAACCGTCGTGCTTGGACTATGTCCTAAGCTTCCAGGAAGCGGTTCGCTTGAAGAAGAGTGTGGCAGGTCATCTGAGCCTCAGGGATTGCCTGTGGAGTGCCATCACTGAGTACAACCGGCGTGTGTCAAAGGCCAGTGTGTCCAAAGTACTTGGTCTTTGTACTTAGTCTTAATAGTACTTGGTCTTAGTCAGCATGGATGCAAACCCTGAGAACTGGAAAGTGGGCGATGGCATGAGGCGGCTCATCTACAACCTTATGCGAGCCCCGCCAGAGCTGTTAGTCTTGCTGGCTGAAATGTACGAGTACACAAAGCCCGAAATCGCAGGCCAGGATAGCTTCCAATTCACGCCGAGGTCCATGAAATGATATGAAATGATAATTGACTTGATGTTCAAAACACATTCTGGTTGCACACGCGCCCACTCCCTGCCAGCCCTGTCCACGGAGAACTTGGATGGTGACTTCTTCATTCCGGGTACCGTCCCGGATGGTGCTGAAGGCGTTTGGCGAGAGATCCAGGCCCAAGAGTCAAAACCCAATGAAGAATTTGAAGTAGGGGGCTTTCCATTAGATCACTATCATTCTTTCCACTCTCCACATTTCATGTTCTGTGCGCAGACTGTCACGGAGCAGTCTGTCTTGGTCTGGGCTGCGCGAGCGAAGATGGACTACGACCGAAAGGCACCAAGAGGTTCCTCAAACAAAATCAAGGCCTGGGTCACCGGGGTCTGTGCAGCCACAAGTCTTAGTGTCTGGTGGTTCCTTTCCAAACCCTGTCCAGAAGATGGCTCAAAGAGACGCTGCTTCGCTGACCGAGCTGCTCCACATTTCTTGCTTCTTCTGCTGGTTGCTGCCGAAGATTGAAATCCAGCTTGGCACAGACTCAGCTGTGATGAAATCCATCAAGGAGATGTGGAGCATGGGGTGGCTTGGAAAAATATACATAAAGATATCAACCATAAATAACAATAGAATCATGTTCAACTTTGAAGAAAACCACAGGATTTTCTGAACTAAATTTAACTTGTCCCAAAATCCTGTGGTTTCCAGAAACCACGTGATTCCCAAGAGGAAGCTTTGAACCTAGGTAGATTTTTGGAATATCAAACCACAGATTTGGAAATCTAGCCTCTTGATTAATGTAATCATCAAAATCCTGTGGTTTCCAGAAACCGCGTGATTCTAGCACTTTGTCAACAGACTTCCCAAAATCCTGCTATTCTAATCAGATTTGCAAAAACCAAATGTAGGATTCCTTAGAGGTGGCTAGAAATTTCCGCAGGATTCTCTGAGGGTGGCTAGAAATTTCCGCAGGATTCTCTGAGGGTGGCTAGAAATTTCCGCAGGATTCTCTGAGGGTGGCTAGAAGAAACCGCGGGATTCCTCAGAGGTGGCTAGAAAAAACCGCGGGATTCCTCAGAGGTGGCTAGAAAAAACCGCGGGATTCCTCAGAGGTGGCTAGAAAAAACCGCAGGATTCCTCAGAGGTGGCTAGAAAAAACCGCAGGATTTTCTGAAGACCTCCCAAAACCGCAGGATTTTGTGAGGTTACATTGAAACACTGCAGGATTCTGTGAAGACCTCCCCCAGGATGGTTTTGGGAAGAGCCCCCAAGAACTGCAGGATCTTGTGAAGAGCTCCACAAGTGGACTCGGAATCAAGCAGGTTGACTGTTGATTGAACATAGCATACTGTTCTGAACCCAGTGTTTGTTGAAGCTTTCTTTCCAAATCTTGCGGACTGTTAGATCTTACCAGTTGTCCGCCTGTTGTTCCCTTTCCCCTTCTTATCAGTTTCCTTAGGTGGCACCATTGAAAAACAATCCGTGGTTGACAAATGGGCTACTGTTGGGAAGCCTTTCACAGAAACCACTATCTTTGGAACCCCCCTATCTTCTGAGGAACCCTTACAGAATCCAAATGTCGGTGCGCTTCCAATCCCATTATCCGAACCAGCTTTTCTGTAGCAATCTCAAAGCACAAATCACTCTACCAGGAAACTTCACACGGTTGCACCAGGCAGCAAAGTCCAAGTGTAGCATGGATCATTGTTTGTTCAATAGCCTTTGTCAGTGGCTGGTCACTCTGCAGGCAAGAAATGCATTGCGCTAACCCAGGTGAGTGGAGAATCAGAGTGATGCCAAATCTTCTCCCCATAAGAGATATTATACACCCAGCATATCTATCTACTATATAGTAAGTAAACTCCTTTAGCCATGTGTCTGGTTTTGAGAGCTACGATAAAAGGATACCAATCCCAAAGGTCCAGTCCATTCACATGTGCTTTATTTTTGTGATGAAATCAAAAGAAACTTACAAGTTACTTCCTGAACACACACACACACATTGAAATCTTGTTCTTTGTCCTTACTTCTCCTTACCTCCCAGGTTCAATCTCTATATAAGATTTTGAACATGAGAAGCTTTGGAAATATGGCCACGCTCCTCTCATTCACTGTAAGTGTCCAAAGAAAGTCCTTGGGAAACTACACAAAACCAAATCTTTTTGGATGATGGAACGCAGGTGAAAAGATTTCTTGATTCCTGTTTCTGATTTCTGGGCTGAACTGAGGGCTCTTGATTCAGAATTGAAGGCTCATTTGAAGGGCGCCGATTCAGCCTTTGAGATGAGCAAGCTCGCCTTCTTCCAGGAGGCAACTGGAGCAGCCCAGGACGAGCATATAGCAGAAGCTCAATCAGCCGTCGCGAACGCACAGAAGAGTTCTTTGCAGGCTGCTTTTCAGCTGTTCAGAACTTCACTGGACAACGACCAAGTGATGCGCGACAGATACTTGTCAGCGGCCAAGACTGATGAAAGCCGGGCCCGCCATGCAGCTTTGGAGAGTTTGGAGGCTCTTGAATAAACATCTCATTTTATGTTTGAACATGTTTGAACATTGACATATCTTGGCACATTGATGTTCACGTGTTTTGTTGGAGCTTGCCCCCTGACAGAAAATGCATGGGACGGCTTGGAATCTGGTGACCTCCTTTGTTGGGACATCCCTGCCAACCTGGAACGCAACGCCCAAGAAAGTTCAAGGCCATCATATTGGAATGATTGATTGTTTGGAATATTTTGGAATGGTCAATAGTTTAGCAATATTTTGGAATGATTGTTTAGTCTGCTGGTATGCAAGTGTTTCTTACCAGGTGTGGAGCAGGAGGACAGTGCCGGAGCCACAACCATTGCTGGAAAGCTGACTCCATGGTTGCAGCAATCCCTGCAGGGGATGGCGAATGGGCTGCGCCGCTTTGAGAAAGAGCGGCTGGTTGGCTTTGTGAACTATGTGGGCGCCGGGATCGTCACAGCTCCCAAGATCCTCTTCACACTGGAGAGTGTGACACAACTTGCGCACTCACATCCTCGCACGTTCATTGGGCTCATCATCTTGCCGAACCGGGCAGGTGACCTTCGCACGACTTCTCCGGTGAAGTATCTTGGTCATACTGTTTGAGTAGCACTTTAGACACATGCCTATTGATGACTTTTGTATAATGTCCAGGGATGTGTTCACGTCAGTTTTCTTCCAAGTTTAGTAGCTTTAGTGTAAGCTCTGATTCTTTGGCATCAGGCCAGAGAAAGCCAAAGATGAAGGGTCTGATGCAGAAGACGATGACAAGGCATGCAAGGATGAAGGCCTGCCAAAACTATTCAAGCAAGATTGCATTGAACTGTTCATATTTTTTTGGGGTGTTTAACTTCTGGTCTTCTTGCAATTGGCGGTTGTGTTTACTTCTGGCCTTCTGCATCAGTGAGGAGATGACGGTGCAGCTGATGATGCTGACGAAGAGAGGGCGAGCACTGGTGAAGCAATTTTGAATGAGTTCCTCTACAAATTGAAAGCTCGGTTCATGGACAGTGAGCGTGGCTTGCGAGTGTCTCATCATTGTACATGGTACTTGTGCGATGTTGTCTATTTTTTGCTTTTAAAGTTTTGTGAGTAGTTTTGTGTAATTGGGTGCTCTTTCCCCTTTGACATTGTTATGACCTACCTTGTGTCCTTACAACAGTGTTCTAGGTGAAGGAGGCAACGATTGTCTTCGATCCAAACACTGTCTATGGTGGAAGAGCCGGAGTTCACCAGTGCCTCCTCGTGACGGCCTTGGACAAGGCGAACTACTTTTGGAAGTCCAAAGCATGGAAGACCTCAACAATTCCAGATGTGTCGATGTTGCCGCGTTCAGAGATGATGAAGGTTGAGAAATCAGGGAGGTCCTTTGTCAGTGACTCCAAGATGACCCCAGTGCAGGAAATGAAGCAGGCGGGGTTGCAAGAAACCTGACTGGTGTGACCAGGTTGTTCCACATTGAGGTTTCATAATACAGTGAGGGTGTGGTATTGACTTAAAATTGCTTTCCCCTGAGTACCTGGCTGGGATGTCCGTGGTGGAGAAGTCTGTCAATGCCCTGACCGATCCAAGCGACAACTCCAATGTCCTGATTGACTTGTTGGGCTTTGATGGACAGGCCAGTTCCTTTGCCCTGAAGGAGCTGTCAGCTGGGAATGCATGGGCAGCTGCGACCATATGTCATAGCGACTGTGAGGCTGCCTTTGTCACTGAAGGGACATCAAATAGAGTCTTTTCTGCAGCTCGGGGAGGTCAGCTAAAGCTAGCTGGATTCCCCAATTTCAAGTCGGTGGTGAGCGAATTGCAGAAGAAGCACAGCAAGAAGATGGCCAGTCCAGAATACTCAGTGTGCACGCCGCTGCAAGATGGCACTTTGGTGGTGAAGCAGGCCCTGATTGATCTCTGGACTACAAAGCATCCTCTCTTTGCTGGAGAAGCAGAGCCTTGGCAGTCTTGCTTGTTCTTTTGCTGGGTCTGCAGTCTTTGAGTGTTCTTTTTGTTGGTCTTTTTGTTTGTGCGCATTGATTTCAATCATTCCCAGGAAGATCTCATCAAGGCTCACAATGCAAAGTACAACCCACGTGGAGTCAAAAGGGGGGGTGCCTCAGATGAACAAGCTGCTGAGACAAACCAGCCGGCTGCGAAAAGGATTTGCCTAGAGAAGACCATGGCTTTGAGTGATGAGAGCTCCATCGCAGACAAGTATCTTGGCAGCTCTTCATTAGAGGATCCCTCCTGTTTCTTGGGTGTGGGTTTGACTCCAACATTCATAGTCATTTTGTTGGAACTTTGAATTGGTACTTTGTGGTTTAACTTTGCTTCCCTAGGGCTACCCTTTCCTGCGGCAGCTTCCGGTTGGTGCTGGACAAGGATGGCGACTCTGTATGGATTGCACCAGAAAAGAAAGGCGAGTCTGATGTGACAGTAGCCGGGCCGGTTGAACTATGTGGCTTTGGCAGTGGAGATTTTGCTACTGGGCCTGAGTCTCAAATGAATTCAGAAAGAGTTATATTTTTCTGGTTTCCTTGTACCTAACTCCCTGATTTGAATGAACAGCTCACCGCTTTAGAACCACAAAGGAGTGTGCTGATATCACTTCTGATGCTGGCAAGTCTGGGCGATGGATTTCATTTTCTTTGACTTCAACCTCGGACTATGTGATTGCTGAGGTTGACAAGAAGTTGCCAGAGCACATCAGGAACCTGAGCACCTGGAACAAGGTCCCTGTGAGAAAAGAGACACGCATCATATGGTCCTTGCAAACCTCATGCCTTATGACTTTTTGGAGGGGCTGACTTTGATGTGTCATGGAGGGTGAATTCTATTTGCAAGCTTAACTTTAAAGGCCCAAAGGAAAAAACTAGAAAGGATTTCTTTGCCCCCTCAGGTGGTTACACTTTCAGATCTTATCTGTACCCTCGAGAATGCTGGAGAGGTTGGCATGACGATTGCCATGCACAACATGGATGGGACTACGGTGAAGCAAACTAAGCAGTGCTGCTTCGTGCTTGACGCGCTCAAGGAAAAGACTTTGTCCAAGAAGGTCAGGGGTTGTTCAACATCTTGGTGGCATTTGGCAAGTCATCATAACTTAACTGGTTCTCTCCTCTTAAAACGCTTTTGAAATCTTTCCTATCAACAACAGGTTGAGTCATTTTCATGGGACCCTGCCAGGTAGGCCATGCGACCACTTTTGGTGCCCGCTTCAATTTGGCCAAAGTTCGGACCAACTCCAACATCAAGATTTGCTGGCGGATGAGGCCCGTTTCTCCAAAAAGCACATACAACCCAACATGCCAAACATAGTGGGGAACATAATGAAATTATAGATCACAACATGCAGCGACATAGAAACTGCTCCCACTGGCCAGAATGAATCTGTATTGCACTGACCCACCAACCTCCCAAGAACAACATAAATGACATAAAGAAGGATCTCCTGCACCTCACCCCTTAGGTTTTGGTTTTGGTGCCTTTGATTCAACCCCACCGCCCAGGCTCGTCTCGGCCGATGAGAATGGAGGCAAGCAGCTGGCGCCAATTCGCCCAACAATCATTTTGCCTGGGACAATGACGCTCAAGGCTGACCAGATGTATCTATTGTTGTAGGTTCAGGAGAACTCCCCCTCAAAGTTGGTGAACAATGGGTGCATACTAATGGTCTTGAACACTGATTGCATACTATATTATAGGTGTATATATATCTATAATATGTGTAACCAGCTAGCTGGTTGATAGTGAGAGCCTTCTGGAAGTGTGCAGGGTTTTGTTCAAATCATAAGTGATCAACTGTCTGGTCAGCGCGCATGTTAGCCAGGGTTTCCGGGGTGTCCCTTTCACTGACTATCAGTGACCCAGGGCCATTGTGATCACCGTGACAAGTGGTGAAGGAAAACTGCCTTTCTGATGTGTCAAAGGTGTCATTGCTTTGAGGTTGCCTCGTCCCACATTCTCCTTAAGTCTTGGCCTGGAGCATTTTGGGCTTCAAGGTAGGGGCTTAGGGCAACGCAGCTTGGAACTATGGAGGGCAGCTTCCAGTTCCAGAAGAAGTTCAGTGTGGCTGACTACGCCGACATCTTGTCTATGAACGAGTCGCAATCAAATGCAGCGCCGACAGTGCCAGCGGCATCAGCAGCTTCTTCCACTCGTCCTTCAGCATTGCGAGGAATTGGGTTACTCAACTTGTTTTAAAAACAGTTTTTTCTAACAATCAATGTTGTGAACCTGTGATGCCCATGGGTGCCTTCGCAGTTTGACAAAAGCAATCAAAAGCAACACACGTCTTTAGCTTCAAGTTCTCAAAGGCAACACACGTCTGTGAACACAATGACAAGTTCTGAAGTTTACATTCCGGTGAACATGCAGGAAGTGATGCGAATCTCGCGCGCGTGAACCTCAAGAGCTCCTCCGAATCCCCAAACAAGGAAACTGAGGACTGGATAATATTCTGAATCTCTTTCTAACATCAAATCAGTTAGAATAGTATGGGAACTTAGGGAACTTGTTTGCTACTGTTTTGTTCATGTTGTGGAGAGGATTTTGTTGGTCCCGTCTGTCTTGTTTGGTCTTGTTTTGCTGCTGATTGCTTGGACCAGGATGCACAGAAGAAGAAAGTGTCCAAGACAGAAAAGAAAGCTACCAAGGATCAAGAGGAGAAAGACCAGAAGAAAAAGAAAAAGAAACCAGATTCTGCTGATGATGCATTTGACTTCAACCCATTCCAAGACGACAAAGATGACACAGAAGACGAACAAGAGGAAGGTGGAGCACCAAGCGGTGGGCCAAAGAAGAGGCCAGCCTCGGACTCTGCCAAGCCGAAGGGAAGCAGAAAGACAGCCGATAAGAAAAGCAAGAAGGGTGGCAGTGAGAAAAAGAAGAAACGCTGCGACTCTAGTCTAGGTTTCAGTCATCAAAGGTTGATTGTTCCCATGTTTGTTTGATGGACTGGTCACTAGTCCCCATTCTTCACTGGCCCATTGCACGCTCACCCAGGATGGTGCTGACAGTGCTGACTGTGGCAGCAATGATGGAGAATCAGCACATGATGTAATCAACAGCTACACCCTGAAGCAGCTTGGATCCATCTTCGACGCTGACCAGGACTTTGGGCACCCAATGTATGTTTGATAGTCCAGTTTAAAGTTTGCCTCAAATGTTTTCAAAGCTAAGCATATTGGGAGGTGGTGGACAATATTGTCTCCCAAGCATGTTTTCATTTAGTCTCTCCCAATATGCTTCAGGAAGTGGTGGGCCCCACTGACTCCATTGACTCTGAGGAGACTCTGATTTTTGGCACAGTGCGCCCGGCGTCGTCCAACAAGGACTGTCCATATAAACATAGCCTGTCATTTTGCTGTTGTTGTACGAAGGGCAGTTGGCAGGATATGCTAATCCAGGTCCCATGAACCATAAAACACACAGACACACAACAGCAACAAACAAGACTCCCTCTCAGAGTTGCAACAAACAGCAAAAACTTTTTGTTGCAGGACCATCAAGACCTTCCTGGCCTTGCTGACCTTCCTGGAGAGATCTCAGCTTTGAGTGACCTGAATGGACACCTACAATACCACGACCAGCAAGTGTTTACGAAGGACCCTACTTTGGATCAGGAAGTCATGCAGCTTCCAGTACCGACCCCATGCAGATCTTCTCTACTGAATGATGTGCCTGTTCCGAAGGCTGGTAGTGATGGTGCAAGTGCATAGTATGATGTGTTTTGTCTTTTGACTGTTTGACATGCTGTCTTTAACTTTACGATACATGTGAACATGTCCCTGGACAGGTAAGTGTGCGACCAGGATTTACCATTCCAGCTGGTGTGCTTCAGCGACCATCGCCAGTGAAGCCAAGGAGGCCTTCAAATGTGTGTGTCTTCGTGGATGGCTATATCTCTTGCGATGAATCTCCACCCCCAAAGCGAGCAAAGAAGACTGAGGCTTCGCAGGGAGAGCTTGAGGATTCGCAGGCTGGTTCTGCCATGGACCAGGATGGTGGTCAGAAGGACGGCGAGATGGGTCAGATGGTGGATGAGAAGGGCGAGATGGAGAAGGGCGAGATGGAGAAGGGTGAGATGGAGAAGGGTGAGATGGAGAAGGGTGA